CTGCCCCATGACCCAACAGCAGCGACATCCTAAGTGAGCTCTTCTATAGACAGCCCCACGGCACATCTTCAGAGCACTTGAGGGTGCATTTTGTGATGGTTGCCTTGGACATAAGCACTCACCAAAGCCCTTCCAGCTAGGTAGGACCTGAAAGAATGTATATTCTGCTGGCATAGCCTTCAAGGACCCAGGGTTGCTTTCACGTTACAGTGAGACATCAACATTGTACTTCAATGGAGAGACTACCTGGATAAAATAAGGATAACACTAGAATTGCCTACTTCTCAGAAAGTTGAAGTATCTTTCTCAGGGACACATGAGTCAGCAGAGAGCCTGAACAAGAATTTGGGTCTTCGGACTATCACCAGTCCAGGGAACTTTCAACTCATTTTCAGTCATTTTCCCAGCTATGTGACTGATGTGGTGGGTGGTCTTGGCCAATACTGATGCCAGTTTTAATAGAGGATCCAGTACAATAAACATTCAAATGCCTGCTTTGTGCCAGGCACTGGGGATAGAAAGGCAAAAAAAAGGAAACAGTTTCTACCTTCAAAGTTTTATTAGGGGGATATATTATACACACAAATAAGTGAACACAGGGTAATTTGAGAAGATGGGGGGAGGGAGGGAGAGAGAGAGAGAAATGGATGAGTGCAGAGGGAAGAGGGAAAGAAAGAAAGAGGGAAACAGAGAGAAAAGAGAAAGAAGAGACAGAGAGATGAGTCTTGAAGGAAGAAAAGAATTCCTAAGCGATCATAAATAGTACACTCCAGACATAGGGTGAAATCTATGTACATGCAAGGACAGTAATGTGAAATAATGCCGGAAAAGTTGTTGTTTATCCTTCATTTTAGAAGACCAAACACATGACTTGGTGATGTCTTGACTTTCGAGAAAATTGGATTTAAGTGAGGCAGAGTTGTACATAGTAGTCAGCCTCACTCTCTCTTCCAGAGTCATTGACATCCAGTGGTAGGACAAAAGTCAGGAACAGCAGTTATGGCCTGGAATGGAATGGATGACCTTAGCATCTTTGATAGCAGACCAAGCTCTAAGCACTCCGCTGTTCCTGTTTCAGCTGCTTTCATAGCCACTGGAACAAATTGGTCTCATCCACCCGTTTCACTGGGAGAAGTCTTCACATGCTTAGAGTAGACACTCTTTTAACTTACTGACAAGGGTTTGTGGACCATCAATTCTCCCTAGCCTGGTTTAGCCCATCTGCCTAGATGGTCTAACAGGGTGAGGCCACTGCCCATGCTATAGCTTCTGGAGCCCCAGGCGAGAGTTAAGTCCCAAGTGGACACCAAAGCTGGAAAAGCAGCCCTGAAAAGGGCTCAGTAAACCCTTACACCAGAGGTGCTGGTTCTTGAAAACTCATATACCCCAATGCCAGAAAAGTAAGGTAGAGCTAGATTCTAGTTTGCATTTTACTCTAACAGTAATTGGGAGCCATCAAAGTTTTTCTGAGCAAAAGAATGGCTCTGTAAGACCTTAAGGTACTTACTTAGCATCACAATTCTAGAGCTATTCGGGACCTCAAAGGCCATCTAATCCAACCCCTTCATTTTTCAGATGAGGAAACTGAGACCCAGGAATGCTAAATTTTGATTCCCCCTAGATCACACAAGCAGTGAGCACCAGAGTCAGAATTCAAACCCAGACCCTCTCACTCTACAGCCAGGGTTCTTTCCACTGTGCCACTGGGGTTTCTATTTCCTTCTGGGCATTCCTAAACCATGATATCCAGAATAACAGACCCTCATCCTCAACAGAATAAGCACCCGAAGTTGGAGTCTCAGGCCCTGGGTTTTGACTTGGGCTCTACTACTCACTGCTTCTGTGACCCTCCTCAGCTCAAAGCCCAAGCATCCTGCAGATGGGGAAAGTGTTCCTTCAATGACTTCAGAAATGCCATCATCTTAATGACGACCCTTCAAAGGTTCTACTCACCCCCTGAAAGGTAATATGCTCATTTTTCTTTCCTAGCTGCCCTTGATATGCAGCCTCTCCTTAGACTCATCTAATATGATTGGCAGCTGCTGACCCAGAATTGTTCCAATCATGGAACTGATTAATTTTATTGACTTGTGTCACATTCCAGTCAATCTCGTCCCACATCTCCCTACCTGGTGCACTTAACAACAGTACACAGAAATGGTGTAACCTCCATTGCTTCAAAGTGTTTTGAAATCTTTAGATTAAAAGAGACTCAGGAGTCCAAAGTATTAACACTCTGCATGGCCAAACAACCAGCCGGCATTTCATTTAAGCACTGATCATTGCAGAATGAATGGCCCCACCCATTCCTGTTTTTGAGATCATGTTCATCTATCTTTTTTCCCTGGGATATTCTCCATTCCCTCTTCCAGTGAGTTTTCTGATTTATGAGCTCATTTAAGTTTTCTGTCATTATCTGCTCTTTCCATGGTTTTTCCATTTCTTTTTGTAATTTCCTGTTTTATGTAGTATATCCTGTTCTTTTAATTTATCTCGGATGTCTTGTTTCTTGGAATTCTCTGAGCATGAGTCCTAAAAGAGGCAATTTGTACCATCTTCTGACTTTTGCATGCTCCCAACAAACTCCAAAGCTGAGAGCTATTATGACAACTATGTTCCTTTTCCTCCTGACATATGTACATGTTTATAGTCAAAAGGCTATTCAGTCTATATCTGTTCATTCAAATTAGCATATTAATTAAAAGCAATTGACTAGAGGCCTTCTTGTTCTATTATTTTTCTCAGATTAGACAGTTCAAAACTGTTTCTTTTTTGGGGGGGAAAGGGGTCCCACTGATCCAAATTAATATGGTTTCATTATGCATCTTCCTCCAATTCTCCTCACTTACCATAAAACAGAAAGGAAAAAAAGTCTTAAAACTAAACAGAAAAGGAAACTAGTTCTGAGTGGAACAATCTAGAAGACTCAGAAGATGTGGAACATGAAATCTGGGTTTGAGTTCAGGGTCTGCCCTTGTCAAATTGCTTCATGGTCCTAGGTCTTAATTTCCTCATCTGCCAAATGAGGGTACTGGACTAGACATAGAGGTTCTTAACCTGGGGCCCATTACCTTGGATTTTTAAAATATATTTTGATAACTATTTCAACATAGTTGGTTCTCTTTATAATCCTATTTAAAGAACATGTATTCCAAGAGTTCAAAGGCTTCACCAGACCATCAAAGGGGTCCACAACACACACAAAAAGGTTATGACCCCCTCCAGAAGACCTCCAAGGTCTCTTGTCCTCTGACAAGATGAGCTATTTCTACTTGTGGGCAAATCACTTCAACTGTTCAAGCCCGTCTCATTTATAAAAGAATGAAAACACATGTACTCCTCTCTTCAATTGTCCTAGGGAAAACAATGTGAAAACTTTAAGACACTGTAGAAATGTGAACTGTTATGAGAAATCTTCTCCAACTATTTGGCACCTCCAAAAGGGCTGTCATCTGCTTCATCATAGTCCATGAAGATATCCGTGACTGGAATGGGCTGCCTGGCCCCAGAGGGCAGAAAGGGGAATAGCTACTGGGAGAAGTTGCAGAGACATAAATACAAGCTTGAAGTAAGGGAAAGCTGCCTAAAAGCTAGAGCAGCTAGGACTGCTTTGGGAAGGAGGGAGTTCCCCACTCATTGGAGGTTTTCAAGGAAAGGCTGGAACACCACTTGTCAGAGAACTGGTTAGGAGGCTTCTTATTCAAGAAAAGGTTAGACTAGGTGTCTTGTGAAGTCCCTTTGAATGCTAAGATCCTATGACCTCCTTAAATAAATGTGTTCTTATTCGAGGGAAAGGGAAAGTCTTTTGGGCTTTTTTTCATCTTTGCATTATTCCTCAGTCCCTAACCCAGTGCTTGGCATATAGTAAGGGCTTAATAAATGTTTGCTGACTTGATTGAAAGTACAGAATGGAGAAAGCGAATGTGAGTTTTATAAAAAGTATGAACAAGACATCTTTATGAAACCAGGTTTATTAAAACTTCTCTACAAGTCAGACGTTCATGTCCATTTTCACATATATACATATTTACAAGATCAACATAGTGTTATTAGCTTCCCTGGCAGACTGTTCTGCCAGCACACACAGACTCTTTACACATAGGCTGTATCACAGATACAAATGTCACACAAATGTCACACAACCACGAGAGTGTTGGTGCATCAGAGGCTCTGGCCGCTCCATTCCTCCCCTGCATTCCTCCCTAATTCCCATGATTCTGTCAAGTTAGTATTGCCAAAAGATTCACATTTACCTTTGTTTTGACACCTTGGTTATTCAGACAGACGAAAAACAGGACGATGAAGCCTCAGGATCAGACAACAACAACCAAACACGTAGAACACATAGAAAAGGTCAAACGTATGTACAAAGTCCACAGTACATGAGGTATCCACGGCACCCTCACAAGGCACTGGACAGCTTGCCAAGGCTTAGCCCTGTTGTAAAATGACCATGCCGTTACTGTGCCATGTGTATATATACATATGTATGCATACATGTGTGTATGTATATTTACACATATGTATGTGCGTACACACACACACACACACACACATAAATGTTCCATTTACCCGTGTAACCAACTCATCTTTGGAACTGTCCCAGGAGTTTACTGAAAATTTTTACTTTTTGATTTCATTTAGATTTATGTTAACACAAGTTGCCATTTCTCCACAGAGCAACAAAGACGACCACACTGGAAAGATAAAGCAGGAATCTTAAGCAGAATTAGGCCTACTTATTCTACCCTGGCAGTCAATGATACAGATACATTGATTTATCAACCACATAAAGTCTGAAATATTAACAATCATCATGCAAACACACACACACACACACACACACATACACACACACACACACACACACACACACACACACACACACACCCTGGAGGCAGATATTCTTAAATAGGGAAGGGACATTCCTAGAAACCAGTCTGAGGCTCTCCTAAGACTACCCAAGGCTCACTTTCTAAACATTTCCATGTTTCCTGCTGAAGAAAAGTCACATTTGACATTTGCTGCACAGGGGACTCCTGATCCTTCTCCTCCAGGACAAGATGGCCAGCCCTGAAATGACCTCCAGAAAGAGATGAGTGCTAGCACACTTGGGAGGAACCAAAAAACCTAACTGCTTCCAAGTACTCAAATTATTCACAAAACTGCAGTCTCTCTGAGATCAGAGTTCTGAAATAGCCAAGAGTTCAGAAGCTTTTCATGATTTTTTTCCATGCTTAGCTGGTACTTTTATAGCTGGGGCTAGGGATGGGGAGAGATGGGGGAGTCAGGAAGGAAAGGAGGGTAAGTTTCAAGTTCAGGGAGAAGGCATTAGTGTACATGAGGTCTTAACAGGAAATTGAGGAACAAGTCTGGATTTGTGCAGCAAGGCAGGCTCGTGTATTCCTGAAACAGTCTGATCAAGGAATGGGGCAAAGCAGTTGGTATATGAGTCTAAGGAGAAGATGCAGGTTTAGCAAACTTCCAACCAGATAGCACAGACCCTTGCAAATGCAAAAGGGTACCTATCCAAAGAGCAGCAAGATGGCGGGTTCATTGGACCAACAGTTTATCTCATTGGTAAAATATGGCTACTGCCAGGTAAGTGACCATACATACGCCAAAAACCACTGTAAGGATTCATTCATTCTCCCCCTAAACTTTTCAAGTTTTCTTCATGGTAAAAGTGTGATTCTGTCCCAATGCCACAACTTTTGCAAGCGGTAAAAGGTGCAGGTCTCAGCACCTAACCAAACAGATACGAGGACTCCCCGAGAACCATAAAGGCTCTGTAGGGCGGCCAATCAGAGTGCTCGTCTCAGCAATGTCACCCAGCACAAAAACATAAGGAACAGGAATTCTGAGTAAAGCAGCTGTGCTTATTTACATCGTCACTTATCTGGCTGTCACCATACTTAAAGCTCTACCCGTCTATAAAAATGGAAAGACGAAACCCTTGAAAGAAAAAAAAATGCCATGTGTGAGAATTATGAGGTTTCTGAGGTTTTAGGATTAGCAGAAGAAGGAACTAATGTCATTGTCTTCCTGGTGTTCTGGAACGATCTGGTCTGACGTTCCTGTTTCGTGGTCTACATATCCAGGTTCCAAAACCGACTCAAACCAGGGATGAAGTAAGACCTCTGGAGCTGTGAGTCTCTCAGAGGGCTCCCGTCTCAGAAGGCTACGAATGAGGCATCTGGCTTTGGGTGATATATGGTCAGGGATGCAGAACTGTCCACGGCGGATTTTGGAGAAGAGAGCACTGGGGTCTGAGTCATGGAAGGGGTACCGCCCAACTAAAAGGGTATATAACATCACCCCTAAACTCCAAACGTCCGCTGACTTGCCAGAGTAGGTCCCTGTTGTGTTTAAAATCTCAGGGCTCACATAGGCTGGACAGCCGTGCTTGTCCGACAGGGCATCATCTTCTCCCTTGATGATATGAGTGTCTTCGAGACTTTCTAGTCTGAGCTGTGTCCTGCATGACAGAAGAAATAAATATGAGCTGTTGTGAAGAATGAGTAGCAGCCAAAAATGGAAACCACAAACGTTAACAGCTCAAATCCATAACCAGTGTTTGGAAGAGACCAAGCCTGCTAGGCCCTACATGAAGCATGACTGAGGAGTAGGGGTAGTGGTGAGGGTGGTGTAAGGACAAATCTAGCACGACTGGACCAGTGTCAAATGCACTTACAAGTCACAAGAACAACGGAGACCTCAATACTTATCGAAAAACTCCAATCATAGCGAATGCTTGCAAACTTAAAAGGGTGGGATGCACACTCCCTAATATCATCACTGTTCAGAATGTTGATGCTGACTTGAAGTACTGACGCTTATGTTAAAAGAGTGTGAACTGAGAGGAAGCAGGTGTCCTGACTGTGCCACTTAGTAGCAAGTCACTTACACTCATTTGTGAGGATCAAATGATATCATCTGCACATAAGGCTTTGCAAACCTTACAGCACTATTTAAATGTGAGTAGTAGTAGGTGCTACTACTAACCTGCCAGGCTCCTTAACCTCTCTAGGCCTGAGTTTCCCCATTTGTTATAGGGAATCATAGGACTGAGGGCTAGGACTCACAAGAGCAGGAAGCCAGATTGTCCTTGTCTATCTCAGACAGTTACCAGGATCAAAAGAATGATGTTCGTGGAGGTCAGGGGACTATCTCACCTCTTTAATTGCACCCTCAGTGCCTGGCACACAGTGGGGGCTTAATAAAATGTTCTGGGACGCTGACTGAAAAATCAAATGAGATAATGTTGGGAAGGGCCCCATCAACTACAATCCACATGTAACATAGCTGTTGGAGAGCTCACAAAAATTTTGCAAAATGCCTTTCACGGTAAGAGGAGGGAGTCTGACCTTTGAGGTAAGGAATATCTGGGAAGAATACTCAGTTCTCTTTCAGGGAGCAGTCACTTGTCCTTTTGATTCATTGATTTAATCTGGTATCCAGTCACTGACTGCCGTGAATTAAAGACAACACTATGCTCAAAGTCATTTTTGTTGTGCACTATTGGATAGCCTTGCCTCTGGTGACCTGTACACACACACACACACACACACACACACACACACACACACACACACACACACACACGCCCACCTGGGCAGTGACAGTAATTAAATAAAGATGGGAAAGTAGTAAGGAATGTTAATTACATTTATTTGTGCATTTAGAGCACAGCAGGCATAGCCTGAAGGGAGATGTAATACACGCAAGATGATGAATTTGGGGTCTGTGTCATCACTCCCCAAAGTGACGCACGATGTCTGTCAGTACAGGCATTAATGCACATGTATCACCATACAGGTACTGAGAAACCCCATTACTGGAAAACTTTTGGTCAAAAGGAACCAAGCCAAGTCACAGAATATCAGAGTGGAAAGGAACTTTAAAGGTCATAGAATCTAACCCTCTCATTTTACAAATGAGGAAATTGAGGTCCAAGGTCACAAAGGCAGTTAGTGGCAGAGCCATGCTTTGAACCTGGGTCCCCTGACTCCCCATCTAACATTCTTTCCCCAATCTTACTGGCTCCTAGCAGGAGCCTCCTCAGCTGTCAGACCGGACTGTCCAGGTTCTCCCCACCTCCCAGGGCCCTACGAGCCAGCTCTGTTTCCTGTACCAGTCTCTCTCCCACAGTCCTTTCAAATGGCCCTGTTTCAGTTAAGTCACTTCTGAGGTTCAACACACACAGTTAGTACCAGCTGATGGATCAATTCCTTTTCCTCTCAGAGGCCCTGGTTTTCTGTGTCGTCCCCCCCCCCTTCCTGCTCAGTAGAGTGTACTGTACGTGTGTTAACTTCAGTCTGTCCTTAGGGTGACCTCCTGTAGTTATGTAAAATACCCACTGGTTCTGTAAACGGAAAATATGACTCAACCCACCCTGTCCAGCCCGATTGGCTGCCGTAGGACTCAAACCCTGCACCTGTGCTTGCTAGACTAAGACTGTCAGCCTTAAATTGCTTAACCCTCTGCTTGCCAAAGTCGATGTGCATGACATTAGCCTGTGCAAAGCATATTTCAGGTTAGCAAGACTTCAATGGATGTTCCAAAAAAGGATAACCTCTTTAGAGGTGACTATACCCAGCATCAATCATCTCTTTTAAGCAAGTAGGTCACCACTCTTTACTAATCTGTCCATTATCCTCATACTGAAATAGAATCTCAAGCCGACAATGGGATTGTCTTCCTCTGAACAAATACCCCTGTAAGACTCAAAAAGCACATCACCAGTCACAAGCTTAAAACTGTTTTGTGTTAAAAAGTTAAACCAATTCATATTTCAAAGTAAGGTCTAAAGTTCCCCTGATCTGCATCACCCCCTCACTGCTTATCTTCTTTATTGTCTCATCAAAGCATCCTTAGGCTAGAGGAATTAAAAGGAAGATACCTACACAGAACACTGAATGGCAACTCCCAAAATGTCATTCAGTGCTCTTAATATGATTATTATCTCATTTGATCCTTACAATGACCTTGGGAGGTAGGTGCTGTTATGATGCCCATTTTACAGATGAGGAAACTGAGGCAAACAAAAGGTAAGTGATCTGCCAAAGGTCATACAGCTAGTAAGTGTCCGAGGCTGGGACCTGAACCCAGGTTATCCTAACTCCAAACCCAGTGCTCTATCCAGTAGGCTACCACATGGCAGAAAAAAAAAAAAGAGGAAGTCCATTCCAAAATGCAGGTAGGAACTGGCTACCCTGTACAGTTTCCTTCTATACAGGAAGCCTTTCCTGATTATCCCCCTGCCAACTGTGAACGTTCTCTCCCATAAATGTACCTTGTGTTTATTTTTATATACATATGTGTGTATATATACATATATACATGTACATATATGCATATGCATGTGTGTGTATGTGTATGTATGTATGTATATATATATATATATATATATATATATATATGAAAACAGAATGTAAGCTCCTTGAGGCTAGGGGCTGTTCTGCTTCTTCTATCCCTAGCACATAGTAGGTGCTTAATACATGCTTGTTGATAGATTGCTTTCTACGTTACCTCAAATGCAAAACCAATATCTGAATTTCCATGCAATTTTATTCCCTCTTCCTCTAACCTAGTCCTTTATTATCTGTGTATGACCCATATTTAACATTGAATTCATGCCAAATTTGCATTTATTATTCACTTGGGCTGCTTTCTGAAGATTTATGCAAACAAATCAAAAAAGGTGGTTATCCCCCTTGATACCAGTGTATGACAAAGCATTTGGGCTAGAAGGACAGAAAGCATGCATTCCTTTCACAATACCTAAGCTTAATGTAGTCGATTATGCCTGCCACACATCAACAACCCACATATCCTTTCAAAAAAGCCTGCAGCTCTTTGAAAAATTCCCCCATGAGACAGGATGCTATAAAAGGGTAGTAAATAGCTATATCATGAAGACTTACTTTTTATGCTACATATTTATGGCCTAACATCATATATAATTTTGAAAGGGAGAGGTTCTATAATCGTATTTTATCCATCAAAACTATTTTCTTTCCTAGACCTTCTTAGAGAGTTTAAAGTAAGCCAAACAGCTGCATTTTTGTGGGTAAATGGGGTGGGGGGAATAGGGTGTGCTGGATTTCTTAAATAATAAATCTGGCATAACATGTTGTTTTTTAACTGGGAATTTGTACAAACTGGATCAACACGAAAATTCACTGCAAATGCAAAAAAGTCATAGCATTAGCTGTCACTAACGCTCACCTCTCCTCTGTGGAAAAGACAAATTTCCTGAGCTTCAAGTCACCCAACACAATGGCAGATTGGTGGCAGTGGGCAACTGCAGAGACAATCTGCTTGAAGAGCCGGGCAGCCTCCTCTTCCCGAAGCCTTTTGCGATTTCTCACATAGGAGTGCATGTCCCCAAAGTCCTTTTCAAAAAAGACATATGCCTTGGTGTCCCCAAGGATCACTTCAACAATCCCTGTGATATTTCTGTGAGATGGCAGCTGGATATAAGGCCGGATTTTGTCTTGGTAGTGTTTAATAGGGAACACCTGCAGAAAGAAAACGGGAAATGAGCTTCCTGTAGTGGAAATAAGGGCTGAAACTGGAATTAAAGGACCTGGGTTCAAATCCCAGGTCTGTTAGCTACTAGCTGTGTAACCAAGAATAATTAACTTCACCTCTCTGGCCCTCAGTTATGGATTAAAAAAATGGGGGGGGTTGAACTACGTGATTATATATACACATATACACACCAAGAGGCAATATGTACAATGGGAAATATCCCTGGATCTGGAATTGAATGATTTGAATGACCTAGGTTATATTTCTAGCTCTGCAGACTGTGTGACCTTTAGGCAAATCACCTAACTTCTCCCAATTTCAATGACCTCACCTGTAAAATGAGGAGGTTGTACCAGATGACCTCTAAGGTCCTATCTTTAAATCCTGTGATAGGATACTAAAAAGTAGAGAGGTTGCTTCTCAGCATCCATGCTGAACTTAGATGTTTAATTTCCACATGAATGATATCCAGAGTTGTGCCTACATATTCCTGAGGCTGTGTTGTGTTGCATTCTATTCCTTAGGTCACATCCTTCTGCCAAATTTCATATTGCCTCTGCCAATACTTAAACCACTAACACCTACTAAGTCTCCAGAGATCTGGTTAAGCTCTAAGTGCAGACATTCACCAGTCCTATCTACTTGAGAGGACTCATTTTCCTGCGTGCCATCTCTCCAGACAATCAGATCCAGCCAGGCAAGGATATCCAGTCTTCAATCCCTCTCTATCTCCCCATAGTGTTCTGAACACAGAGGATGCTTTCAATCAGTGTTCACTGATGACTGATTAGAGAGACTGGGTCCATTCCTTGTCTCCTTTGCCCATCTCGGCATCAGGAAACCCTGGCTTTATTCCAAAACAGCTTCAAAACTATTGTCGATTACTTTACAATCTAGAGATGAAGGGTGTTCATCCAAAGTACTAAGAATATGATGACTCTGCAAGATCTAGGTAGGCAGGAAAGGTAATCGAGAAAAACAGCAAAATGTAATTTGGAGGGAAGGAGAAAGATGATTGGAGAGAGGCAGAAACAAAGACAGTGATACAAAGAGACAGAGACAAAGGAAGAGAGACAAAGACAGATGAAGAAAAAATATAAATCAGTCTATGACACAGCTCTGGGCACTTTAAGTAACCTGAAGTGTGACTCAGGTATAACCATCATTCATCTGTTTCTCAAAAGCTCAGAGTAAATGCTTTCAAAGGAGGAGTTTTAAATCTACTGATTTTTTTTCCCTTCCCAGGGAATGGGTAACTTCTCTAAGAAACCAATTGTGCTCTTTTAAAGGCCTTTTGTTTTTGCCAGGGTTACTCATATCCTAGACTCAACTGGAAACGGTGACACATGGACCGTCACCATCTGGATCCAGCTATTATCTGTTGGGAGGAGCTGGATAGGATTACACAATCCTCAGGTCCCACCCCATCTCTTGTGCCAGTCTGATAGATGGCTAGCAAGGAAAATCCCTCTGCGACTCCCCAACCTCATTCTGCCCACCCCAGCCCCCCATCACCACCACCCATAGACGCTTCTGCCAAAGCGGCCTTTTGGACTGGTTATTGAAATTTTTTTTTCCTTTTTCATTCCCTAAACGCAGAGTTTTTGCAAGCATTTAAAATCTCCCTGAAGTCAGACAGCAGGTGGCAGTAGCCAAACTCAATGACAAAAAACTTCATTCAGACGAAGTCAGGTGAGCAGGAGAAAAACCAAGCTGACCCAACGGCTGACCCCTCAGTTCAGGTGAAGAGTGTAAGCTAGAGGGAGCAAGCAATGGCTTTTTAAAGCAGCTGTGGTTTTTTGGTTGGTTTTTTTTTTTTTGGGGGGGGGGGATGTGCATTTGTGGGATTCTCTGGGTGGCTTTGGATGTGTTGAAAATGTCAAGAGGATGGGTGCACTAAAGGAGGAAACTGCAGATCCTGTTTCTGGGAATTTATCTTCTCGATGTTAAAATGAAAATCCATGTCACGAATTAAAAGGAAATGAATGAGTGTTCCAGCCAGGGCTGGGCTCCCCACTTTTCTATCAAGGGGTGTCAATTCTAAAGGTGAGACCCTATGTCTCAGGCCTTTGGGGGTGAAGGGGGGAGTCACAGAATCCCACAATCAGGATCTTAGAGGTCATGGGATCCACCCTCTCTCCCACGGAGGCTTACTACTGGGTGCCCATTGAAAAGTCCTAGCACTTCTGAAACGCCAACAGGCTCAGAGCCGGCAGCCGTGCCAGCCTCCAAGAAGGAGGTACCTCCACCCAATGGGGCTGATAGCGAGGGGTGAGGGTCTGGATGAATCACTTTCCGAAGAAGAGTGTAAAGACTGCTCAAAGAGGGGAGCGGTTAAATGAAAGAAATGTGGCTGAAAAATTATGCTTCCCCCACCTCATCTAGTCCGCTCGTCACTGGGAAATAAGTCCCTTGAGATCCCAACAGAAAGCTTTCCCACCTCCCGGTGGAAGACCCCTGCCTGCTCTCCCCAGTTCGTTCCCCTCTCCTTAAATCTTTACTATAACTGCGCCCTCCAAGAGCCTGTGATTAGGACTGAAGGTTGAATAAATTAATTCCTAAAGTCTCTTCCGATCGACGATCCTGCCAGACCTTTGTCCAACCTCCCCTCTCCCACTCGGGGTCCCCCCGACTCTGGGATGAGGGTGGGCGTCGGGGAGGGGGCAGCCGTACCTTGCAGCGCAACTCCTGCCCGGTGTGGATGCTCAGTGCCCGGGACACATGCTCCCGCTCAGCCATGGGCAGCAGAAGGTAACCAGCGATCCGGCTGGGCCCCGGGGCGCTACCGCCGGGCGCCGAGGGCGAGGGCGCGGGCGGGGGAGTGCAGGGGGAGCTGGGGGGGCTGAGGTAGTCCGGAGGGTTCGGGCACTCGGACAGTCGCAAGCATTTGGCTGCCACCGCGGCTGTCTCGTCGCCGTCCAGGAGGCGCTTGGAAGGGGAGCCCCGGGCAGCAGGGAGCAGCAGGCCCGGGCTGCGGGGCTGGACGTTGCGGCTCATGGCAGGGCGCAGGGAACACATCCAGGTCCCAGACCCTGTGGAGCTGGGCTTTTAAAGCCCGGAATCCAGGAAGGTTTTGGGAGCGGGGCCCCGAGGTCCGGAGATCCGACGGCTGCAGCCGAACCCGGAGTGTCTCTCGAGGTCTTCTGGCTTTCACCCCCCACGGGGGGCAAAGCTAGCCAGAACCGCTCTAGGGCGCCCACGTTGCAGCCGGGGCCGGGGCTGGCTGGGGAGCCACCGGGCGGCCCGGTGGCCAGCTCCGCCTTCTCCCGCACCCCGAGGGGGCGGCTCAGGACTGGGGTCTCCCGAGAGTCCTGGCTTGTGGTGGCCGCTGCTGGCTGGCTGGGATGGATTCCGCCGCCGCCGCCGCAGCTGCAGAAACAATCCAGGCGGAGGAAGGTCTTCGCAGAGCGCGCCCTGCGCTCGGGGTCCGAGGAGTCGCTGGCCTGGGACTCGGAGCGAAGCTTCCGAAGCAGCAGTAGATGCCAATCGAGTAACCCAGAACTGCGAAGCCCAAGTCTCCGGCCAAAGGCACCTTGGCAACTTTTGGCGGCGCTTCTCCCCTAAGCGCTCTTCAGGCTCCGTGCTGGGTGAGGGAGAGTGACTGAGTGTGAGCGAGTGTGTGTGCGGTGCGCCGATCTCAGGCTGTGCCCTCCTTCTTCTCTTCCTCCACCTCCTCCTCCTCCTCCTCCTCCAGCGGGTGACTCACGCTGTATACACACAGTCCGATTATATGTAAACAGTTGGGAAGCCGGGTTGTGCAATGAGGTGCTACGATTCCAGCTCCTCGGCCCACCACCCGGCTTGCTGGCGAGCAGAGCGGGGAGGGGAGGTGCAGCAGCAGCAGCAGCAGCAGCAGGACGGGGCGGGGGGAGAAGGAGGGGTCTGGAAGGGAAGGGACAGCTTCAAGACACCCAGGCGACGCGCGCACGGACGCAGGTGACGAGCCGGGCAAGGGAGCTCGCGCTCCCCGCACACACTCCTCCAACACGCCGAGGGAGGGAAGGAAGGACTGCGCGCTTGGAAAGAAAGAAAGTGGAAAAGAGAGAAGGAACGAGAAGAGGGAGCTCCCTCTCTCGGGCGCGCTCTCTCTGTCTCTCCCTCTCTCTCTCAGTCTCTTACAGCCAAACCCGCGGGCCGGGAAAGAGGAGATTAAAAGTTGCCGTGACGTTAGAGGCCAGGAGAACCGGAGTTGGGCTAGGGTTGGGGGTGAGGGGGAGAGAAGGGGAAGGGGCGGGATTTGTAGGGCGGAGCTTAGACGACGCCAGCGCTCATTGGTTTGTGCTTCTTCCATTCACTCCACAGCGATTCACCGTCTCAGCTCGAGGAGTACAATGGGCTGCGGAGGAGGAGAAAGGTGGGGGCAGGGAAGCGCGTGAGCTGCGTTCTCGGGGTCCTGGGGTAGAGGAAAGAAAGGGAGCGCGTGCCAGGGAGTGCGCGCGGCCTCCGCGGGCCTCGGCTTGATGACTGCGGCGTTGTGGGGAAGCCTAGCCCTTGCCCTTGACAATGCTGCGACACGCAGCAGCCCAGGAACGGGCCCCGGGGAGCCCCGCGCGCGCTGCGGCTGCCGTGCTCGCGGTGAGCTGGAGGGCAGGGGAGGAGGCAATGGAGAGACACCCGCTGCGCTTCGAGCGCCCAAACCGGTCTGGCTGCAGCTAGCGCTGCTGGGGGGGAGGGAGAGAGAGAGAGAGAGAGCGCGATGAATGATTGAATTAATATAGCTACCCCCACGCGGCAGTTCCGGGGAAGTCCTGTGCAGATGAGAATGGATGTGGATGTGATTCTCCCCCCCCCTTTCCTCCTCCCCTTCCAGGCTGGCTCCCTCCGGGGTGTGCTCGGCTCCACAAATAGCACCTTCCGTTGGGGGACGTGAAAACAGACCGAGCCTCTGCAATCCTCCCCGCCTCCTCCTCTGGGCGCCCCCACGCCCCGCAGCCGGGATGGCACGGAAATAGCTTCACGGAGCTCCTGGAGTGCCTTCTTCACGGCGACTCTGGGAGCTTCCTGGAGGAGGGCGGCTTGGAAACAAAAGAAGCCCGAGCCCTAGCAAGCGGAAGAGCCCCACGTGGCTGCCACTTTGTTCATGTCTCTTCCTCCCCCCCCCCCACCACTTGCTCCCACAGCCCTTCTCCCCAGGGTCCGTGAGCACCGGGTCAGTGAGGCTTTCCCTCCTCCCATCTCCTTGCACAGTGACCTCCGGAGTGCGTCCACAGCGATCTTTTCATGTTCTGCCCCTAGCCACCACGAGTGGGATCATAAGATTTTGAGCTGTAAACCTTTGAGACAATCTGGTCCAGCCCCCCTTATTTTACAAACAGCCCAGGAAAATGAACAGCTTGCACAAGCTAGTTGAACCTGGATGCCAAACCCAGGGCATGATAACAAGTTACCTAACATTTTCCTTTTCCTTCTGTCCCTTCCATACAAAACTGCCTTTAAACATACCCGGCAAAACTGCAATTTCCCTTTAGAAAACAGTCTTAGAGCATTATTGAGTCAGTTACCTTAGTTAAGTATAATAGTCATATTTTCCTTGCCCTTGTCCCACCAAACCACCACCCCGACGACAAGGAGAAAACAACTGTACAGTTAACATTCCTTCCCTGCCTTCAGATCTCGTTATCAAGGTCACCTTAGGTGACAAAGGACTAGCATGAGCTGTCAGTGGAGAGCACGGGGACTTTCCACTTAAGGTATTACTCACCTTATATCACCCACCCTGCCCAAAGATAAGAGAGGGAAATCAATCGACAAGCATTTACTTGTCGCCAACTGTGTACTAACCACTGAGCTAAATTTTAGGGATTGAAAGATAAAAGACGGTTCCACCCCTCCACCAGTTTAGAACCTACTGAAGGAAGATAATAAGCTCACAAGGAAACATACTATTGGGGATGGGGTCAGCACTGATAAATAACCTGATAAGCCTCTTGAAGGCCTTTAAGCTGGACTTTCCAAGAAGCTAGTGGTGAGAAGGGAAGGCATTCCAACTTGGGGGAGAGCCTGCTTAAAAGCAGTGAAGCAAGAGGTGGAATGTTGGCTTAAGGGAACAACAGGCAAGCCAGTGAAAGCCGAGATGCTGAAAAATGTCATTTGATTGCAGATTTTAAAAAAATTTCTGGCAAAGCTATGACAAGCCTTTCTCGGTCAAATGAGCCATGGACTCAGCATTTTTAAACCTTTTGGAACAGAAGGTGAAGTCTAACCCTGCTCAAGTCACAGATTAGGTAACACTGACTGAAGTGACTGCCTCAGGTAATTTGTTAGTGGACCTGGGACTAGAAACTAGATAGTATGTGCAAGGACTTTGTAAAGTGTGAGGCAATATAGAGATGCAAAGTATTATTATTGCTATTTGAGCTATTAATTTAACTTCATTAAAAATTAACTTCATTGAAATTAGTAGCAAAAGTAGGGTATGGACCTTGGACATATTAGCTTCTCTAGGCCTCAGTTTCCTCATTTAGTCCTTATAGTCAATAAATATTAAGCACCTACTATGTGCCAGCCTGTGCTGGGGATACAAAAGGAGACAAAAGACAGTCTCTACCCATACAATTTAATGGAGAAGACTATACATATATACATATTCATATATACGTATGTATATGTACATATATACACATATATATATGTGATATAAAAAAGTAGGAAATAGAAGGCACTAGAGTTTAGAAGGGTTGGGGAAGACTTGCCGTAGGTGAAATTTTAGTTGGGACTTATAAGAAGCCAAATTGGTCAGTAGTCAGAATGGAGGGAGGAGAATGTTCCAGGCATGGGGACAGCCAGAAAACATACTCAAAGTTAAAAGAGATGGATTGTCTTGTCCATGGAGCGGCCCATAGGCCAGGGTCTTGGATCTAAGTGCATGTATTGAGGAGTAAAGTGTAAGAAGACTGGAAAGGTAGGAGGGGGCTAAGTTATGAAGGGCTTTGAATGCCAAACAGATCATTTTGTATTTGCTCCTGGAGGCCATAGGAAGCCAATGGAGTTAGTGAGAAAGGGAGTGACATGGTTGAACCTGTGCTTTAGGAAAGTGACTTTAGTGGCTGAATAGAGGAGTGAGGCTCTCTTGAGTCAGACTCATCAACAGGTTATTCCAGGAATTGAGGTATGAGGTGATGAGGGTCTGTGCTAGAGTGGGGCATGTTGAAGGGATGTTGCAAAGATCTTGGCAATTGCTTGGATATGGGGGGGGAGGGGAGAGTGAGATAATGAGAAATCCAGGATGACTTCTCAGTCATGAGCCTGAGAAACTGGAAGGAGTTGTTACCCCCTACAGTAACTCGGAAAGTAGGAGGTTGAGGGAGAATTTAGAGGGAAAGAATGAGATCAGTTTTAGATATGTTGGATTTAAGGTGTCTACTGGATATGCAATTCAAGATTTTGGAAAGGTTAGGAATGCAAGCCTGAAGGTCTGCAGAGGTTAGGGGGCAGGAAAGGTGATTTTGAGAATTATCAGCATAGCGATGGTTATTAAATCAATGGGAGCTAATGAGATAACCAAGGGAAGTAGTATAGAAAGAGAAGAGAAAAGGGCTCAGGAGTGAACCCTGACAGGGACACCTGTAGGTAGAGGGCATGATCTGGCTGGGGATCCAGCAGTCAGGTAGGAGGAGAACCAGAAGACTGTGGTACCCCAAAAAACCTAAGGAGAAGAGAGTATCAAGGAAGAGATGGTGATCAGCAATGTCAAAGGCTACCAGAAGGGCAAGGAGAATGAGGCTGGAGAAAAGGCCGTTGTATTTTACAGATAAGAGGCCAATGGTAAATTTGGAGGGAACAATTTCTATGGAATATTGAGATCAGAAGCCAGATCATAAGGGGTTAAGAAGAGAGTTCGAGAAAAGAAAGTGGAGGCACCTATTGTGGATGGCCTTTTCTAGGAATTTAGCTACAAAGGGCAGCAGAGGTAAAGGATGATATCTCAGATGGAAGGATTGAGTGAGGGCTTTTTAAAGATGGAAAGACATGGGCATGTTTGTAGTCAGTAGAGAAGGAGCTGCTAGACTGGAAAAGTTGAAGAAAAGGGATAGAATGGGAATGAGAGAGGGCAAACTTGGAGGAAATTGGATGGAATGGGATCATTTGAGCAGGGAGAGGGTATCAGTGGAGCACCCTGGCTGTTCATCTGCTATTTCTCAATCTTGCCATGCGACATCTTTTCTCTTGGTTATACAATTCTTTCATGACTTCTTTTGACTCCCACTCCACTTCAGAGGATGTAGACTATTTTAAAGATGATGCAGCTAGGTCCTGCAGTGGCTGGAATTTGGGGGCTTAGAGCCAGAAAGGTATGAGATGCTTACAAGCTGTGTGGTCCTGGGCAAGTCAGTTTTCTCATCTTTAAGATGGGGATAACAGTGCCTACTTCCAGGGTTGTTGTCAGGATAAACAGATATTTTGTAAAGTGTTTTGCAAACCTTAAAACACTATATAAATGCCATTATTATCGTTACTCTTGTGCTGATGGATAATACACAAATCCCTACTCACTGCAATATTTGGACAGCAAGTCCTTCTTGTTCAGTATTCATTGCTCATCCTTTCTGTGATTCATTCATTCAATAAGTATTTATTCTGTAAATCTATTCTGTGAATTCTTCTGTCATGAGGGAATTTGTGGTAGATGAATTCTAATAGATCAGTTTACCCTCCCCAACCCCTTACTACTAGCACCTCTACTTGAGACAAGAAGGAATGGAAAGGGGGGGGGGGACGACACCTATCACTCTCACCGGCCAAGGATGGGGAATGGGGGATGGGAGGATAGTATAAAAGCTTGTAGCCGGAACCAGATTAAAATGTAACTGGGAAATGTTTAACGAAATAAGAATACAGTACAACAAAGATAATGTTAATTTGTGATTTTCTAAGTCAATATGCAGCCCAAAGACATACGTTTCTAATTGAGTTTGATATCACTGGAGAATACCAAGCCCCAGGGTTGGGAAGCACTCTGGACCAGAAGGTTGCATTAGAATCCCATTACCTCATTCAACAAGTCTTTGTAGGATGTTCAGTGTCCAGGAAAGTCTTGATTCCACAGACTGTACAACATCCCTAGCATGCATTCCCTTCTCTTCTCCACAGGGTCCCTGGAGTAGTTCTGGTCTGTGGCCCTTATCACCTCATGTTCAAACAACTGTAACAGGCTCCAGTGTGGACTTCCAGCTCCTAATCTTCCTCTCTTCAATCTCTCCTCCACACTGCAGCCAAAATAACCTTCCTAAGGAACATCTGACTATCTTGTTGCCCTGCTATGAAAACCTCAACAGCTTCCGATTGCCTCTAGGCTCGAATAGAAACTCCTGGCTTGACATTTAAAGTCCTCCCCCTCTCCAGGCTTATTTCTCTTTCCTCACCTTCACATAGTCTACCTTCTGGCCAGAACTGGCCTACTTAGTAATCTCTGGTCATGGCATTTCTTTTTGCTGTCACCTTGACTTGGCAGTGCCTGTCTGCCGTGCCTGGAATGCCTGCCCTTCTCACCTTTGCTCTTAGAACATCGGGCTTCTTTCGAGACTCAGCTTGTGAATCATCTCTTACCCCAAGCCTTTCCTGATCCCCTTAATGCT